AGGGATGGAGGAGAGGGGACATCAAAGAATGGGGCTCCAGACTGTGGAATGGGGGGCGGTTCTTTAGTCCGGGAAAGAATCAGGGCCCCTGATCCCCTTAGGGAGAACCAGGTGAACGGATTAACGTTGTGATCAGATTGATAGTCGGCAACAGGACGTAAACACAGTTTTTGCTCATTTCTAGTTTCCTACTTTAGCTGGGATCTGGAGAACTGAATGGAGAGCTGATGACAGCGTCTGTCGGGACAAACCCCAGAGTGTGGGGCCCCGGGTGGTCCCAGAGGGCGGGGGCTGCAGGGTGGAGCGCCCTCATGTCCAGGACAGCCTGAAGTAGACGTGGAAAGCCCCGTCTGGACCCCACCCCGGCTTCTTAAACCAGCCCTGTATCCTGCAAGGGATCTTCTCCACATCTACACTGGGATAGCTGCTTCCTCATACCCAAATTTCGAGGAAAAAAAAAACCTGCCAGTTATACCTGACCCCCTAGGCTGGTTCAGCCCCATGGGGATATTGTGTTTTTTCACATGGAACTTGGCTTCAAATTTTAAAACCTCAAATGTCTCTTAGCTTGGCAGGGTGACGGCCTACCCATCGGATTTCTCACACGTCCCATACGGTGCTTGCCAGTTTGACTGCCCGAGGCTACAGTTCAGTTGAAGAACAAGTGTTTCTAAAAACAAACTTCGCCCCATTGAAAGTCCTCATCTCCCCCTGAAGTGGCCACTGACACGGGGGAGCTGAGGTCCCTGAAAATGGCAGAAGGAGAGAAGGAGGATGCGGGGCGGTTCCGAGAACTCCGCCTGGGAATGGCCCAGGCCGTGGGAACCCTGGCAGAGAGCAGCACCTCTGTTTTGGGGTGTTCCCTCCCACCCTCGTGGGTCCCTGTGCCTCTCTCTCTGAGGCCCCCTCTTTCAGGAGAAAGATAAGGTGGGTGGGGCTTCCAGGGTGGTGGTCTTGGTGGCCTCACCCAGGACCCCTGAAAAATCACATCTCAGCTTCCAGGCCTGTGGCCACGCCCTACTTTTTTCTTCCTTCCAAGGTCAGGGACTGGGCTCCTCTCTGCGCATCCCAGGGAGTGGGGCTGGCAGGGAAGCCCCACCCCTGCTTCCTCCCCTACCAGGGCCCCCCTTTAACTGCCAGCACCACTGGCAGGGAAGAGGAGCAGCGCCTGGTTGGAAGGTGGAGGGTCCCGGGAAGGAATCTGCCCACATATGCACCCCGAGCCCAGGCTCCCAGCCTGGGTGTCCTCATCGGGTTCTTGAGAAACACTCTTGGGGGAGCCTGTGACCATGCAGAGTAACTGCCCAGTTCTTTTCAGCCAAGGCTTAGGGCCACGTGCCGGAGGGGGAAGCAGGGGACACCACCGTGCGCCAGCCTGGCTCCCCGTGCACAGCTCTCTCCTGACTCCCCTTCCATGCAAAGAGGGGAGTCCAGCGGGAGCCTGGGGACCACGGCCAACAGGGCAGGAGCCTGTGAGAGCCTGCAGCTGGTCTGAGAGGGAAGGGGTCCTGGGCAGAGCCTTCTGGGCTCCTCGAGGGTCCCGGGCAGCGGCAGGCTGGGCACGGAGCCCACACACAGGAGCACCTTCCTTGTGCTTCTGTGCAAGCCTGCTGTCAGTGGCCCCAGAAACGGACAATTAGGGACAGCTGTCCTTCACCTCAATATTTAATGCAGTTGAACAGAAGAAGGAGGACCCAATCCTTCCAGCTGCTGCCAAAAACCCCTGGCATCTCCTGCCATGTCACAAATAATACATAGGAAGGGTCAGGTGGCAGTGCCAATTGGCAGGCAGTTCCCTTCCGTTGGGAACACAGCCCATTTCCCAGGGAGACCGAGGCCTGCCCTTGGTGGGAGGTGGTCCCGGGGTCCTTAGTTTGGGGTGGGGCTGAGACCGCTGCATGGCCAGAGGCTGCCCCAGGTCTAGGGGTCTCAGAGTTTCCGCAGCTCAGGTAGGGAATCTTCAAGGAGGAAAATGATTGCATTTCAATGGAGAGTGCCGGCTCCTTGGCAAGGAGTGAGAGGGACGGGGCGGGGAGGGGGCCCAGGCCTCGTGGGGACTGGGGTGGCTTGTGGCTGGTGTTTTTGCTTTTGGTTAAGGCTGGGGCTTAGCCAGTGTGGACTGTGGAGAAGATAAAACCTGTTCCCCAGTGATCTGGGGTCCCTGATATGATTGCTCCTGTGGGATCCTGGTCTCCCCTGCCCACTCCCAGACCATCCGGGGTCAAGGTTTCAGGCGCTGATCACAGCATCCCCAAATCAAGAGGGGGCCCCTGGCAGACCGAGGACCCCAAGGATCACGGATCATGGCAATGCAAGGCGGGGCAGGTACGGCGGGGGGGTGCATGCATGGGGGCGTGGGAGGGATGAGGTGACAGCGTGGCCTGGGGGCAGCGGGGCTGCATGCCCCTTTGCTTTTCTTCACTTGCAAGATGTTCCCATAGGGCACTTATTTCTCCTCTGTGCATTTTATGGAGAAGTTTGTCATGGGGGTGGGGGAAGAGAGTCGTGTAAATAAAAGCACTGTCTCATAAAATGCAGCTTGGACACAGAGGTCAATACTGTGTACCTTCTATGATGAATGTCCTTGACTTGGAGGAACTAAATGGATCCCCTGGTGATAAAAGAAAGATTGAGAGACCAGAGTTCACAGCTGTGGGAACGCTGAGGGGCGCGGTCCATCACGGGGTGCGGGGATGGAGGCTCAAATCACTTTTCACAGAATAGTTGTACAAAGCACCCTCCCACGCACACACACACTCACACACATATATATACACACACGCTCAGGTACGTGGTGTACATATATAGAAACAAATGAAGAAAAAGTAACTTGAACACAACTTAATTTTCCAAGTCCCTGGAGCAGCAAAGCACAAATGAGAAGATGGCGGAAGCAGGAAGTTGGAGGAGATGGGAGGGGCTGAGATCGCAGGAGTCAGAACAAATGAGCGCCCGAGAAACCAAAACCATTTTCCAAAGCATCGCACTTTCTTCCCCCTTCTCTAAGTAACAGCTTATTCCCCAGAGCAAAAAGCCCCTAAAACCTCCTAGTAGAACGTGGAACTGATTTAAAGAATTGAAAAAGATGCAGCAGTTGCAAACAGTCATCATACGGTGACTTCGTTGGGGTAACACTGCCAGCGGTTCCAACCCCGGGGTCGGGGGTGGGGGTGGGGGAGGCGGACCCAGAGCATGGAGGGCACTCAGCCTGGAGGTGCCAGGGCACGCTGGGTGGGGAAGATCAGACCGGAGGCTGAGCTCAGGCCCGCCCCTGCCCACCCCCACCTCCACCGGGAAGGCCTCCCACACCCCACCACCTCCCCACCCCTGCCCCGTAGCCAGCAGAGCCCCAGGCGCAGAGCCTTCTGTCCTTTGGAATAGCGATGCCCAGCCAGCTGGTGCTTCTGGAGAGAACATACCTTCCATGGGAGTGTTGGGGTCCGGGCGGTTGGCAAACACCACGTCCACGTACTCCAACTGCAGCCGCTCCAGGGAGGCTTTCAGACCTGGGGGAGGCGTCGAGAGGGACCGTGACTATCTTCACAGACACTCCTGGTCCTCACCTACGTGTGCGGCTCAGGGAGCAAGAGACGAAAGACACGACTGGGAGCTGTGGGAAGGCAGGGCACACGTGGGCAGGTGCCACCGAGGTCGAGAAAAGCCACGATAGAAGAGGGGGCACAGCCCGAAGAGGGTGGGTGAGGTCCACAGGCCCAGTGTCCTGCGACTGAAGGGAGGGGACCCCTCCTCGAGCGGCCCGTGTGGTTACTGGGAGGGCTGGGCCATCAGACAGGGAAGAGAGCTGCATTTATCATCTGCAGCTCCAAAGGCCGGCGGCACCTGAAATGCACAGGTGCTTGGCATTGGCTCAGAGCAGAGTGGCAGAGCCGAGTGCTGGGGCGGGGGGCAGGCGGGGTATGCAGCGAGGCCTCCTGATTGTGTGATTTTTAATGGAGGGACCATTACCTTGACAAAAATGAATGTGGGGAGAAAAGCATAGAGAAAATAAAAATATAGGATAAGCGAGACTTCCTAGGCCCCGCCCTGGCGCTCCTGTGTGCCGAGGCCCAGGCTGCCTCCCCCACGCACCCTGGCCTGGTCCTTCTGGATTCCCAGTGACCCCGAGGTGGGTACTCGGGCCACGCCCATTCTACAGATGCTGCCACAGAGGCCTGGGGATGTGATGTCCCCTGCTCAAGGTCACCCTGTGGGTATGGGGCCCAGCGTGGATTGAAACCCAGATCTGTCTGTGTCTTCCTGGGGACAACACTGCCCACCCCAGAGCAACACAGGCCCGCCACCTACACCCCTGCCCCCTCCCTCATGCCACGTAGGGCCTAGCCCTGTGGGCTGGGGTGTGTCCCCAGGCTCGGAGGCCTGTATCACTGGTGAGGTGGGACGCTGCGCTGTCTTCACTTTCCCGGCCCTGGGAGGATGCTGTGGGTGTAGGGGGCCGTGTGGAGCCAGAGCTCCCTCACCTTCTATTATGTGCTTCCTGGAAAGGCCTCTCTCGGTCTCCGCTCTGAAAAACAGGCGACAGCGTGCGTGATGTTGCAAGTGGTGTGGGGGAAGATGTTTATGATGCAATGTGAGGTGGAAAAAGCAGGTCAGTGCCTGCTGCGTGTGGTCTGATTCTGCTTTGTGGGTGAAACCACCAGGCTCCGCACATTTGCTCATGGAGAAGCCCTGGTCGAGCTGAGCCGCTCCCCTGGCCGCCCTGGGGGCTGGGGGCGGCAGTGGCGGAGGGAGGTTTCTGTGTTCCTGTATGCCTTTTTGTTTGGCTTGGGTTTTTTTTAATTAAAAATTAATAGTGGGGAGGGGAGGGCATAGCTCAAGTGGTAGAGCACATGCTTAGCATGCACAGGGTCCTGGGTTCAATCCCCAGTGCCTCCTCTTAAAATAAACAAACCTAGTTACCTCCCCTCCCAGCTAAAGTAAAATAATTAAATAATACAATAATAAATAAATAAGATATTTTTAAAAAGTGAGTCGGGGATGGGGGAGGGATAGCCCAGTGGTAAAGTGTGTGTCTATCATGCATGAGGTCCTGGGTTCAATCCCCAGTCCCTCCATTAAAATAAATAAGTAAATAAATAAATCTAATTACCCCCGCCAAATGAATCATATTTATAATTCCTATGAGGCTGATTTTGTCCAGCCCCACCGAGAACATGGGGCCAGACCCCTGGAGGACGGCAAGGGTGGTCTGCAGCCCAGGGAAGAGTGGAGTGATTAGGACAGTTCATGAATTTCCTATGTTCTTCAGAATTTTTAGGATGTTACCTTTGTAATAAGAAAAAAAACTCACAAAGGTAAAAACAATAAAACAAGGTTTGAATAAAAGGCAACTCAGTCAAAGCTGCTTTTCTGGAACCCGACATCCCCTGATATGGATGGGTCTGAGTCAGGGCAGACGGCCGCACAAACGCCAGCCCCCGCCACCCCCAAGCCCGGCCACGCCCAGCAGCAGGCACAGGGAACTGCACCGCCCAGGCTCTGCCCTCCAGGAGGCTCCTGAGGCCGGCGAGCCCAGCACAGACCCCGTGCCCCCTGCTTGTCCAGGAGGACTGCCCCTCCCCACCCCCCGGGGCCTCCTGAATCAGGGGTCTCCACAGACCCGACCCCCAGCCCAGGGCATCGCCTGCAGGCTGCACCTACTTTCCTCCCCAGAAGATCTTGGTGGTGATGACGAGGCTGGAGCGTCTGGAAGGGAAGAGACGAGGCATTACTGGCTGTGACCCTGGGGTTCTCCATCCCCAACCCTCCTCACTGACCTCAGCTCTCACACAGGGGTCCCGAAAGCCTTCTCACCTGGGAGCATGGGGTGTGAGAGGGGGCACTTCCCCTTTCAATGTTTGGGGGGTGCCCAGCCAAGGGTCCTGGGGCTCCCCATCCAGCTGGGACAACCCACAGATGTAACTAAGTAACTGTGTGGATGCAACTAACTAACCGTTAGATGTAAATTGGGCAGGGGGGGTTGGACCGAGATGAAGTCTAGCCTGACCAGAGTCTGGAGCCCAGAGGAGGGGGGACGCGGCTCAGGGAATAGAAGGCCTCCGCGCTGTGGACTCTGAGGGGGTCAACAGGGGACCGGCAGGTGGATGGAGGGCTCTGGTGAGGATGGAGGGAGGTAAGGGGGCCACACAGTCCGGCTCTTCCCCTACAGGCCAACACAGTGTTTCAGAAAAGCCGTGTGTGGGACAGCCACGGAGTAGGGGAGAGGTCGGGTGGGGAAGACCAAGGAGGCAGGCATGGTGATGCCTGTGGGAGTTTGGGCTTGGGAGGCTGAAAGCCCTAGGGATGGTCTCAGGTCTCCTGCTGCAAATCCGCAAGAGGCAATGCCGACAGCTGTGACTGTCCTGGAGGGACAGGTGTGCGGGGGTAACGGTGGCCCCCCCGGCCAACACTTGCCCATGACCATTCCCAAGGGAGGGGTGACAATGTCCCCTGTGGTTGTGCTTTCCTCCCGTGGGAGGTGGGGGGAGGACTGCTCAGGAAACAGCTACTCAAAGCCAGCAGCTCTGCAGCTGCCAGTGTCACCCCCGGGCAGGTGGGATGAGCTCCTTGTGTGCTCACTTAAGACATGATCAGGGGACTGGCTAATAGTATTGTTTTCTTTAATTACAGAGTGTGGAGGGATGTATTTTGGAATCAGTTAGAACTGAGAAGAAATAACCTGGGCGGGGCAAGAGGCGGGGTTTCTGTCATCCAGGCCTGGGGGTTGGGGGGATTCTCCGAGTGGGGTGCACTAGGGGAGGGCCAGCCTTACAACCACTTCTGACGTGGCTGCAAATGAAGACACACAGGCCACGAGGGCCCCCTAGTGCAGTCAAGTGCTCAGCCTGGCCTGAGCGCAGGAGGGCAGAAACTGCTTGACACCAGATGTGAAGCTAACAGGGGGTGAGGGAGGAGGCCCCCCCACGGCTCCCACGGCCCAGGCCTTGGCTCCCTGGTCGGGGGGACATCCACGGTGTGAACACTGGTCCCCCCCTACCAGAGGAAGCATAGGGCTACCTCCATCCTGGGACATTCTCCCTTTTCCAGCAAGAAGAACTCTGGAACTGCCAGGCTGGCTGCTCAGGGAGCTGAGGCCCACCCTGGGCGCTCCTCTGGAACTCAGGAAGGAAGAGCCTCGCGCCCCAAGCCAGTGCTCCCCCCGGGGCGGCCTGGACACCTCACCTGGGACCCCGCAGTGGTCTGCCTCTCCCCTCCCACCAGCCTTCTCCAGGCTCTTTCCTGTGCGTGCGCCCTGGGGACGGACCCCAGAGAGAGCAGACTGATTACCTCCACCCTTTCTTCTTGATGATGTTTCCTAAGACCACTTCCGCCCTGCATAAAAGACAGAGACAGGGGATTCCATCACTGCAGCAAACAGAAACACCAAACCTCGCCCCACCGTGATGACGGGCCACAGTCCCCTCTGTGAAAATGCCACTGGGGCCAGGGAGCCAGGCTGTTAATGCCCATCTAGGCTCGGGCAGCCCATCTCAGAGAGGAGAGCACCTGGGAGCGGCCGTGGTACTCCCCCGTGGAGGGGGCTGTGGGCAGGAGCCCCGGCAGGTGCCCTCCTCAGCAGCGCTGCTCCAGCGCCTGCAGACAGGGAAGGAGCCCATGTCCCGCTTGGCAAGGCCAGCAGCATCCCGTTTCCCTGGCCTGCTGGAAGCTCACTGGGGAGAGTGCTTAGTGTCGTTACATGGGTGTTTTCAGATGAGTTTGTTTTTTAAAAGGTAAATTATCCATCAAGCGCATCCTTTGTGGTCAGAGACAATCAACATGTGCTCAGGGCTGAATTTCCAGCAGGGTATGTGTGTGTGTGTGTGTACTGTGTGTGCGGGTGTGTGTCCCTCTTATATCTTGCTTTTGAACAACAGGCAGACAGATGCCATGCTGACCGCTGTCTGTTCTGCTTGGCGTCACTCTGGGCCCGGCACCAAACTCGGGCCAGCTGGGGTCATGCGTGGACTCTTCCAGCCTCGCTTGGTGCTGCAGCACCAGATTAACTTTTCAGAACTTTCTGCTTGTAGCAAAATGTTTCTGAGCAAAAACAACAGACGGAGAACGATCCCTACCCAGCGCTACACTGCAATTGTAACAGCGCCTGAGTCATCCACTCAGAAATAATGGGCTCTCATTTGCAAGCTGTTTAGCATACATTCTGAATGCTCTTCATTTAGGGTCAAGATGCACAGAAACTCACTCAGCCCTGGGCCTCTTCCCCTTATTTCTGGGTCCGTCGTTTTGGGGGGCAAAAGATCAGGGAAGGAGGGAGGGAAGCAGGCAGTGGTCCCAGGGTTACAGGAGCTGTCGACCATGACTTCAACAAAGCCTGTTGCTTTTGGTAGAAATTCTCATGCCTGTGTGTTTGGTAAGGCTGGCATCTGTCTGGGGTGGGGGTGGGGGCACAGAAATCCTGCAGCTCTCTGGAAAGTGCCCAAATTAGCATCAGCGTGAGAAGCAGGGGACCTCAGTAAGATATGCACTTGGCACTCTGGTTAGCAAGAGGGACTCAGTGTGCCGACCCTGGCATGCCAGCCCTGGGGGGCTGATTAAGCAGGGGACGTGAACACAGTGACACAGTGAAGACAGTGACACAGGCTGCCGTGACAGGGCCTGCACACAGGAGCTGGGCCATCTGGAGCTGGAGGGGGCTGCACGGAGCTGCACGCTCCCGAGGGCAGCAAAACCAACACAGGCGCGGGGCCAGGCAACAGACTGGGGCACTTGGGACGGGGGACGCCTCGGGGCTTGGCGTCTGCCTTGGGCTTTTCCACCTCTGACCTGTTGGCTTAGCTCATATGCTGGGAAGCATTTTACTCTGAAGGAAAGTGGCTGCCAGTTTGGAGGGCTGGGGATGGGGCTGTGGCTGCTGATGGGGCTGGAGGAGATTTGGGGGTCCCATGGGAAGCCCTTGGGGCTGTCATAGCCTCAGACCCTGGGCCAAGACTGGAGCGAAGACCCAGCTGGGGGGCGAGAGTCTCGGTGCTCCGGGCCCCACTTTGGGCTGCAGGTAATGACCCAGAGTCGGCCAGGCAGGTGCTGGCCCCCCAGCCACAACGCACAGCAGGCGGGGCTGAGGAGCCCGGCTGATGGGAACTTGGCTTGCCCCAGGCAGGAGGGGGCTGGACTGAGGACCGCCAGAGAGCCAACAAATGATTTCACAAACAAAGGCTGACTTTGGAAAACTGACGCAGGAGAGTGGATGATTTGATTACAGTCAGTCTTTAAAACTGAAGCCAGCAGCCTTGGCTGAAGAGGGCTTTTACATAATTGAGTAGGAAGGTTCACTGCCAAGACGGGAAGGCCTTCCTGCAGCGCTCAGCTTGGCTCGCCAGACCCCGTTCTCCCCAGCGCCGAGCTGCCCTGCGTTCCCTGCAGCCCTAATTGCACCATTAACACGTGAGAACGGCAGGTGTGCGGGGCTGGCTGCGGGTCACAGGCGCGGCAGGCGAGCCGGGCCACGGCCTCATCACAGCTCTTGCCCAGCCAGCATCTCTGGCGCCAGAGGGACTGTGGTCATCTCGCTGCTCGGACATTCGGAGTTTAGCAAGTGACCAGTGTCCAAGTGCTCTGTGATTCTGGCCCCGTGAAAACAACGCCTCCTCAAGCTGTTTTGAGTTTAGAAAACCGGGCGGAGTGGGAGGTGGGAGCGTTCTTGGGACTCGGGGACACTGTGCCTGGAATGCTCCCCCCACCGAGAAAAGGCACGTACTTGCCCGCCGCGTAGACCTCGGCAGTGTCGAAGAGGTTGATGCCATTGTCGTAGGCCAAGGTCATTAGCTGCTCGGCCATCTGAAACGAGAAAAGCTGGGCTGCTCAAGGCGGGCGTCCTACCCGCGCAGACAGCCTGTGAACAGAGAAACAGCTCCTGGACCGTGACATTCTTGTGAGCAGGGATCCCACCTGTTGGGTCACCGCGGGGCTTAGCACCGGAACTGGGTCTGATCACGTCCCTCAACTTCACGTCCACCCAGAACCTCAGAACGGGACCTTATCTGGCAGCGGGGCTTTTGCAGCTGTGACTGGCTAAGACGAGACCATACCCTGAATCCAGGATGTGCGGTGTCCTCATGAGAACACACGCAGACACACAGGGAAGAGGCCGTGTGAAGGTGGAGGCGGAGACTGGGGTAAAGAGCCTACAGTCCGAGGCCTGCCAGCAACCAGCAGCTGGGGGACAGGGCTGGAACCGGCCTCCCTCAGAGCCCCGGAGGCAGCGCGGCCCTGCGGACACCTGGACGCTGCAGGCCCGGCCCCCGCACTGTGGAAGAATAAGCGCCTGCTGCTTCAGGCCACTCAGTCTAGGGGGCTGTTAGGGCCGCCCTGGGAGACACACAGCCCGCAGCAGGAGCGCGACAGATCCTGGCAGAAGAAGTACTTTTTAAAAACCACAGCTGGAATGTGCCTGGGACGCCGAGTCCTGCCGAACACTCCCCAGCAGCCGCGTGACAGTGACGTAATCATTGTTTGCAGATGGAGAAGCTGCCGTCCCCAGCTAGCACCCCACTCCGAGGTGCCAGCGCCCTGCAGGAGGGCACTGCTGAGGCACAGCGGCTGGCAGCTGGGACGAGGGTCTGAGGAAGGCCGCCTGCAACTGACAGCCCTCCCCCGCCCCAGATGCCTGGAGAAGGAGCCCCTGGGCTCTGCTGTGCTCTGGCAGTGCGGGTGTCCTGGGAGTTACAGATGCAGACGCCCCTGCCGGCCACTTCTTGAAGCTCAGCTCAAAGCACCAAGCCTCCCTCCCCTGCCAGCCCAGGGAGGGGCGGATAACACCAAACCCTCAAACACCGAAGCAGGGAAAGTCTGCCAGGCACGGCTTCTGGGAGCTTCTCCCTACACCAAACTCAGATGCCCCCCCCCCGGCCAGGCAGGTACGGAGAGGCAGGCTGGGGCCTGGTGGGGGTCAGTTGGGTGGAGGGGGCTCAATCACTGCCGAGGGGAAGGTGGCTGTGTGCGACCCAAACCCTTTATTTTTTCAAAAGAAGCCAGAAATCCAGGATATTGGTGGTGGTGGTGGCGGCGGGGATCTGATTTTCAAATGTTGGCAATGAACCCCAAAGATTTCAGACACTTAAGATGGCCAAAGCTACCCCCACCAGTCAGCTGCTGTCATCCAGGTTGGAGAGCTCATGGCTGGTGAGGCCACTGGTGGAGGACATTTCTGGATCCATTGGCAGGGCTGGATGGTTCTTCTCCTTTGGGTGGCTCAAGTGTAATGAGGTCTCCAGTGTGTCCAAGCACCTCCCGGGAGCCCTCCTCCTCCTCCTCGTCCTCCTCGTCCTCCACGCATCTCTCAGCACCTCAAGGCTCCTTCCTGGTTACCCTTGTCTTCATTCTGATTTTTCCAGGATGGGTCCCACCAGCTCTGCCTGGAAAGGCACTGTGTGCTGGGCCCTGAAGTTTACACGGATGGCTAGGTGTGCGTGCTGCCGCCTGGGAGGTTCTGAGGCTCAGGGCCAGGACTTTCACCTTCCTGTTCCCGACACGCACGTCTTCTCACCCCGTCGTGCGCACGTGGAGGCCACCACACTCTAGCTGTTCTTCTGCGCTTGGCTTTTTCGCTTATTATATACCCTGGAAATCAGTCCATGTCAGTTCATGGAGATCTTCTTATGTTCCTTCTTTAAAATTTTTTTTTATTTAAAAAATTATAAAATTGCAATAAAATAGATGTAACATAAAATTTACCATTTTAACCTTTTTAAGTGTGCGTGTCAATGGCATTGAGTAGAGCTGCACTGTTGTGCAACCATCACCACCGTCCATCTCCAGAACTTTTTCATCTTCCCAAACAGAAACTCGGCCTCCATTAAACACTCAGTCCCACCCCCACCCCAGCCCCTGGCGCCCACCGTCTACTTTCAGCCTCCATGATTCTGACTCCTCTAAGAACTCACATGAGTGGAATGACAGTCCTTGTCCTTCTGTGACTGGCTTACTTATTTCACCCAGCATGATGACCTCAAGCTTCATCTGTGTTGCAGCTTGTGTCAGAATTTACGGGACCGGGTTTTGAAGGGTGGCTAGGAGTTTGTCAGGCAGGCAGGAGGAGGGTGGGTGGAGGAGGGTGGGTGCAGGCAGCAGGGGTGGTGTGTGCCAGGAGGGCAGCCTGCCCCACCTGCTGCACCTGCGGTCTTGCCCACCCTGTGCTCAGGTCAAACACTTGGGTGTCCTCCACTTAGCTTCCTCTCCATCCAGCATCGAAAACTTCAGCCAATCCTATCGGCTCCCCCCTTGGAAACGGATCCA